ATCGAAAATAATCGAATCGTTGGGTCAGGAAATCGATACTGAATCGAATCGCCATGATGGATGTGATTTACACCCCTAGTAAACTGAGGGATTTGGTTATCTTAGACTTAGACAACTTTCCTTGTCATTTTGTATACACAGTGTACAGAAAACAAAATTTCGTTTTATACAGCTTTCAGACAGTGAATGAGCAGCAGCTTTGCAGTGAAATGAACATTTCCTTTTCATAAAGTGCAGAAGTGATAAAATGTAAACATTGTGGGAGTAAAAAAACGCATTTATTTGATCATAAGATGTTAGAAACGATTCCATTCTTAATGAAACCCATTGATGGCACAAAATCTTCATCCTGAATAGAGAGGGATAAAAGGTTCTGACAGCAGGTTTCTAAAAAACTATTTTCTTCTACTGTTCCAACTGTGAGTCGGTCAGACAGGTCAGGACAAGGACAACAAAGGTTGAGGGTGAGAGGAAATTCACAATGAGTAACAAAAAGATATTAAATCAGTCAGTCAAATAGCAGGAACAGCAGGAGCTGATGACGACAGCAATGCTTCATGAATTTCCTGCCTGTGTAAAGATATATATAGATATATATATATATATATATATATATATATATATATATATATATATATATATATATATATATATATATATATATTAGAAAACCACTCTTTTTGAAAACTATAGACGATACACTTTGGTAGCTTTGTTGATAGTTGAATAACTTTCAGCTACATTGACATATCTCATAGTTTTAAGTTAATGAAATAAAATTTTTTAATCTAAATTCCACCAAATTGAAATATTTGACCCTCTTGAGATCAGGACAAGTTTTCCATAATACATAAACATTTCCTGTTGTTGTAAAGAATGCATTAACAAAGTGGTTGCATGAAACAAAAGGTTTCTCATCTCTCCACAAATGAGAAAACTAATGAAGTAAAAAGTGTTCAAGAAGACTATTTCAGATTTCTGGTTTGTTTTTTTTGTTTTTATCTTGGGAAACTTCAAGCCTTTAGGGAAACGCCCCATTATTAAATCTCTCCACATGGATTTGGACTCTGTTAAAAGGCAAGTGATATGCAATTGTTTTCCCTCTTAGAACACAGCATGCACTGTCACATCCCTGCTTGTGAGATAAAGGGTTTCTTCTATCAGCCCATATCAATTTAAGTCCCTCAGTGCAACGCCGTGGCAGGTAAGAAAGAGTCAAGCACAGAGGAGATGTCTGTTTGTCGTGAGCAAAACAGACACCTCCCATAACATGTAATATGGCACCAACCCTATTTTGGCACTGATGTTGCCCTAAATTCAAACTACAAAGACGCTAAAGATAGCCAGCTCATGTGTGTGTGTATGTGTGTGTGTGTGTGTGTGTCCACTCTTTGGGCTTTAACCTTCACTGAAATGTAAGAAATTCAAAGTAATTTCAGTTCATCAGATGAATGTTTGAAGCTGAAGTATTGCTATTACTCTAGTTTTAACTACTGCTTCCATTAAATGTTGGTCTATCACCATTTTTTTGTAACACAACTTTGTCCACCTTCAACAACCTACATATTTGGATAAAATGTTTATCTGTTCATCAGAGTCACAATATTTTTTTTCCCGCTTTGACTACATGTTAAACATTTGACATTTTCCTTTGATAGAACCTCATCTAATAGGAAGACCTAATTTTTACACGTGGTTTGTTCATCATAAAAAACAAGATTTTAAATTGATTATTGTACTTTATTTAAAACTGCTTGGTTTCTTGTTTCTATGCCTTCTAGGATTATTTCAGAATGATAAAATCCAATAGGAGAAGCTTCTGCCACAGAATAAATAAAAAAGGCATCAAATTTTAAAAAGGAACAGCACTCTTTAAAAAGTCCCAAAGATCAGGAGAAAAGTTTGTGTCTGTGTTTTTCTCAAATGAATTAAAGGAATGGTGGATAATACCGTATAAAGACAGTTTTATAAAAGCTGTGTAAAAACTGTGCCCTTTTAGAGCCTTACTGGTTTTTAATCTTTGTTAAGACTTAAAGATTGCAGTAAACCATCCAAGTCATCCGTCCTGAAGAAGATGTTCTGTCTTAAAGGCTAAATAGAAATCCCAGTTTCTGGATGTGCCAGGCTTATAAGACGTCATCCTGAGGACTTCCTGTTCCAGATGTTACAAAACACGATGATGCAAGTTCTGGTTTATACACACTGATTTATATAGACTCAATTTAACTACCATCAATGGAAGAGTGGGCCAAACATATGAATGATTAAGTATGGCATCAGAGCTTTCCCAAATGCTAGATTTTGTATTATTTTTTTAAATAAAAAAGTTCACTTTATCAATCTGTCCTGGAGGTCAATGATTGCAAACACTCATCTCATCATGCGTGTGTATTTTAATAATTTTTTGGTGGGTAAAATGCAAGAGTTTTTGTTTTTTTATTATTATATCCTCATAATCTCCAATAAAATAGACTAACTTTTCAAGAACTCCCCTCTTTCTATAAAAGCTGGTTTTCTTCAAGATGAAAATCATCTTCTTACCTACCTTGTGGCTACCTTTCCTGCCCCAATTTATAAAGTGTTTTTTCTTGATTTTAAAAGTTTAAGAGTTTTTGTTCATCACCTCCAATTTTATTTCCCTCTAAACGAGCTTCTTCATGCCTCCGATTTATGAGACAGATTTAAAAACAACAAGTCTGTACAAAATACATGAACATATGAACAAACTCAAGAACAAATTCAAAACTGTCATTCGGAAAAACAGATATTCCCGGCAACATATCCACACTAAGAGCTGCATTACAAATTATCATTTGTTTGAATCTATATCAACCAAAGATCACTAGTGAGAACTGAGAAAATATCTCGGCATACTGTATTCTGAAAGTTCAACATTTAACATTTTCACTATGTTTTCTTTCTGTCAATCAGTCACTGAATATGCTGGGAAAACATCTTCCATTTCCCCTGTGGTTTAGTGTGTTTCAATACACCGATTAACCACCATAAGTATACCACTGGAGGGATGGGGGAAGTATTGTATACTCTGGTCTTGTTTTATATATCATTGTGTAACAGGTCATAAAAAACACATGGGTGGGTTCATTAGAGGTAGAAATTCAATATAGATCTCAAGCTCTTTATTCTCTGAGCTGAGAATATTTATGGATTCAATGAAGTCTGGATTTTAAATTTCCTGTGCAAAAGAGAATTTGATCTAGGTGAATTATGCTCATACACGTATTTGCAAACTCAATGCATTGTATACTTTAGGTTTAAATTACAAGCAGATTAAGTGATCACCTTATTTTTCCTCCCTTTTTTCCCCCACCCATGCAATATTTAACAGCTAACGAGGGTGGTTACCTCTTCCATGGTTTGATGTTTATAGTCATGCAATCTTATCTTGAGGCACAACAGAAACGAAACATTCAACAACCAAGTAATGATACTTTTTAAATAAAAACAAAAATCTAACTATTTTAATTTAGTTGACCTTCTAGAGGCACAAGGAGACACAATGTTTCCTACTCCAATCAGGAACATGATTCAGGAATTACATCTAAAAACAAATAGAATTTTAGCTTTCCCAAAGCTGTGAAGGCAGTAGCCCTTGCAGGCAGATACTAATCACTCCTGCTGGAAATCTAACAAACCACCAGTCTATTTCATTCACTGCTTCACCACAAACACCACTTTGTGTGAATACTAAATACTACTTGTACCATTTCACTCACACATATTTTCTTGTTCCTACATTTTTAAACCTTCCCCTAAAGATGCTAGTTATTTCTGTGTTTCTCATTTATTGTATATCTGTGCCTTTTTTTCTCTCAGAATGCATTTTTGTTTCAGCAGAATTTCATTAAGATGACATAATAATGATAAATATTCTTTATTCTCTACTTTGGTATCCAGTGAGGCGGAAGAACTGCCATGTTTTTCCAACTTTTTTTGTCCTCAGATGCTCCTGTTTATGCTGCAGCTACCAGACTTGGTGGTCTTTTTGTTATGAATGTTAAAAAGACAAATGACTTTATGTTTTTCTCTTTTCTGTATTTTACACAAAATAATGAGAATGTGCTTGTTCAATGCAAATGCATCTAGTATTTGTATTGAGTTGTTCCTTTGAATAAATGTGTTGTGACCTGACAGGGACATCTGTGCTATTATTTGACTTATTTGATAATTTGTCATCTTTATCCAACAAATTAAAAGTTTATAAACCCTTGAGGCCTGTTTTTTATTTTTGTTATGACAACTGAATCTAAAAAGAATAACTTCATTTTGAAACTTTTCATTTACCCTTACAAGCTTGCCTCCAACTATTGTATGTTAGATCAACTCTCACATTAAATCTAAAAATGTCCTCAGTGCCTTAAAATATCTTTAAATCCAAGATTAGTTTATCCTCTGGGATCCTCTGATTTCTCAGCAAAATCAGGACATGTCAGGGTGCTTCTTTCAACATTTTTTTTTTCAAAGTTCTAATAGGGACTATTGACCCAAGAACAACAACAAAAAAATTGTCTAAATGTTGTCTCCTCTTGAACACTGATTTCTTACAGCACTCAAAACTGCAGATGGCCTCTGTTGGTTTCAATTAATTAAAAACATTAAAGTGAATATCCTATGCGTTTATATATGTCTAAAGCAAAAGGTTTTTGGCAGTAAGTTGTTAGAACGTAAAATGTTTTTGGTCCTGTACCAAGATTTTGGTTGGATGTGTTTCGTTTATATTAAAAAGTTAAAAGCCATCTGAAGGATCAATGTTTGCTGTTTTGGCTTTAGGTCTTATTTTGACATCGTAATTCACAGCAAAAGGAATAATAGAATGAAGAATCATGGATAAAACTTAGATGTTATTTAACATCTGCAGAAGAATCTTTAATTTTATTGTGGAAAGCTTCCTTTAAGTAATGATGAAAATGAAATAAACTCCAGTTTTCAAGCTTTGAAATCATTTTTCAGAAAAAAAAATACAAAATTGTCCACAGTTATAACTATTAAATCTAATAGGTTTTATATTGTGTTTGAATCCATGAGCCTTAAATTATGTTTTTATCTAAGAATGTAAAGACAATGGCTACATAAGTCAGTTTTCTTTTAAAGTCTTAAACCAGTGATTCCCACACAGGAAGGCCGTCTGAGTCCTGACTGTGCAGAGAACTTAAGCCTGTGTCTGAGTCGTCATCGTTTATATATTCAGGTTTAGTTAGACCCTTGGCTTGCTCCGCCCAGTCATTCCCTCCTTTCAAAGTGTCATTCAGGATATCCTTGTCTTCTGTCCCATGGATGCGCGTAACTTCATCCGCGTCCCCCTCCTCCATGTTCAAACTGTTCACTTTCTCCAGCAAATCCCTCATTTCCTTCTCTTTAGCGGTGCCAATCTGCTGGGACAGCTCCAAATCCCCCCTAAAAGCCTCTAAATCCGCGTTGAGTCGCAGGCCAATGTATAAACTAGCATCTAGCTGCGTTTTGATCCTCTCTTCCTCCATATACTGTTCGCTCTGTGATGCTGAGTGTGTCTGTGAGCAGGACGGCTGGGATGGAACGCGTTTGGAGCGCAGCTCCTCTTTCCTGCGCTGCATCCAGCGCAGGTTCAGCTCCTCCTGAATGTGAGCTGTGATCGTTTCTATGATTGCCTCCTGCTCCAGAAGCTCTTCTTGTAGCTTCAGCACCTGCTCGCACTGCCGACTATACTCCTCAAGTTTGGCAAGAGTCTCTTTTGAGTTTAGTTCCTTTCCTTCCTGCGCTGAGACCGAAGCTGCGCCAAAAATATACGTGTTCTGCACATAATTAACCCCGTGTCTTTTAATTCTCTCAGTATGCACCTTGGCTTCATACCTATCTATTTCTGCATCCAGTTCTGACATCCTTTGAACCTGCTGGCGGATTGTGTGGTCCTGAGACACAACGACATGTACCAACGTCTCCATCTTCTCCGCTGCTCTGTGCGCAGACCGCGTCCTCTTTCTGTTGATCTTCTCCAACTTTCTGAAAGCTTTTCTAACAATCCGACGCTGTTTTTCCGGCGAGATGCTTCCCATGTTGGACTTCGCAGACCCTTTGGTCCCACCGGGGGTCTGCTTGCTCGGCACCACACGCGCCTCTGCGCTGCGGGCCCTGCGGCACTCCAAAGACGCGTCTTTTTTTACCAGTACAAACTTCACGTTTTTCTGTTCATCTCCCCACGCGATCCACAGGTTGAGGATCTTTGTTTTGTTCGGTAAAATTCTTTCGAAGCCCCTCCATTTCTCCACGATGCAGTGGGACTCTGTCGTGGACAGGCCGGGCTGCGCGCGCTGTTCCTCCAGCAACACTTTCACAACATCCGCGCACGTGTTGCGCTTTGACAAACCGAAAACCAGCTTCTCTTCTCTGCAGACCCACACTGATATATTTATCTCCTTTGAATCTGAGGCAGACCCCATAGTTGATTAAGTCCAGTTCTTTTTTATAAATAAAAATTAAGAGATGAAAAAAAATCTTATATAGATTTAAGTAAAAATACGCATCCGTTCGCGCAGCGCCTCCAGCGCCTCCAGGAGAAGTCTGTATGAGCTAAAGATTGACATATCCACCTGATCCTCTGTGTGAGATCTCTGGGCTCTTGGCCCATCAGGGAAACACTTAGTGTGACGCTGAGTGCTTCTGTTGAATCACATGACCGCACTTCAGCCAAACTGTGATACTTTGCCTGCTGATCTAAAAGGTGGAGCCAAGATCTTAGTATGGATCATGTTCCTTTTTAAACTTTTGAAGTTTCGTCTTAATACTCAAGTAATAATATCCAGTTCCAGATATCATTAACAGTTTTAAAGAAGGCAAAGTAGATTTAGAGAAAGTTGGCAGCTCTCTATGTTCTTCTGTGAGACAAACAAACAACTCTGAACCTTTCTTTATAAGGTCATTAAATGCATAAACTTGGATATAATGTTTTAACTGTTTCTATGAGGTATGAGATATGACTGGTCACCTTGACTGTAGCTGGCCCAGGGATGAATTTGGCCTTAAACAGAATTTGAATTTTTATCTTAATTTTTTTTGCTTATAGGCCTGTTACTAAATGTATAATGATCTGTACCGAGTAAGTGTGACATTTCATGTTTTCAGTGTGTCTTGCTTAATCTAAAATTAAAGAAAAATTCACATATTTATATAAAATCAAGACAAAAGCGCACCTATTCTTATAATAACAGTCTGATTCCTAATCTCAAAACAAAATGTGATATTGCTCATGATTGTGCGCAGTGCATGCTTAAGTTCATTGCAAGAGAGGATTAAATGTCTTCAGGGTGGTGTTTTATTTGAGAAAGCCAGAGAAATACAAGTTTCCTTTTTGAACAGAGTGGCCTTTAATTTAATTTATGCATTGGTCATGTATGTGTAATGTATGTAAAAAAATAAATAAAATAAAATTATATATATATATATTTTTTTCTTCTTTTTTTTTTATCTTGTGCTTATAACTATAATTTACTGCTCTATATTTTCAATGTGTGTTAGAATGGCTGTCAAATTCAATCCATCTCCCTCTGGCGGTGATTTCTCTTACTGCAGCGATTAACTCATAGAGAACTGATGGGTAAAAAAGCAACGCTGCCCCCTGCTGTACATATGATATAAAAGATAACATAATGCAAAATGACATGCTTTCAGACCTTCAGTCTTTTAGAGAGCTCTACGTCCGATGTTTTGGAGGATCAGTAATTATGTATGAATACAAAAAAAAAAAAATCACTTAATGACTTACAACAAAATACGGTAAGAAATGCTTAATAAATACATAATGCTGCAACTTGGTACTTTAAATTGACAGATTGACAGGATGAATACAAAACCTTTTCCAACTTTGATCCAAAAAGTAGCATAAAAACGACAATGGTTGGGAAAAAAGGGTTTGGGGTTTTCATATTTTGCACATTAACTAAGATGTAATAAAATCTAAACAAATGAGACAGGGTTTGCTTTTTCAATACCTTTAATTTAACTTTCAATGTTCATTGGAAAGTAAAGCAGTGTTTCATGATTCAGCCGGAAAGTAACAATTACACCTTGATATATTTGGAATGCCATAATATACTTCAATTCTTTAATCTCGGTTATTCAGTTTATAGAGTTAAATTACTACACAATACCTAAATATTGCAAGCAGCCTGTTGCTCAGTAGAGACATTAAGGAATCCCTTTCACATTGGTTGTTGTCTCTCACCTTCATGCTGGTAATTCTCAAAACATTCTGTTTTAGGTTTAAGTCAGGCATGTTTGCTGGGTAATCTAGCAAAGTGATACTATGATTACTAAACTAGGTATTAGTACTTATGGCAGTATGGGCATATACTGGAAAATAAAAGGGCTATCTACATAAATCTTGTGAGCAGAGTGTAGCATAAGGTGCGCTAAAAGTTTTTGGTGGATAGCTATAGTTCCTTATACTGTAGGGTTTCATAAACCCCATTCAAGAAGCACCAGCAATCTGCCTTTTTTTTCCCTCATAGCATCAAGGTGAGTGTACAAATGTTTTTTTAGTACCTTTTGGGTTCTGTTTCATCCCTAGTGATAGCCCGAGGGTGGTGCTAAAAGCACTAAACTGTGCATGTACAAAGTACATGCATTCAGTCAGTTTGCCTCATTCTAATGATTGTCTGTTGGACACTTTTTGTTTCGCTGTTTGGCTATAATTGGAGATGGCAGCTTTTGTGGCCCCTCTCCTGATTTTAGCCTTTTTCTATTACATTTTCAATTCCCATTTTAATGGGGTTGAGCTCTCTTGTTGAACTTGGACATATATGGCTTCAATTGCTTTATGGATTGCTGCGTTACACTTCAGGCGGATGCTGGCTATGACCTATTGCTTCTTTGTTTTGGGCGTGATCATCTTGTGGAGGTACAGTCTAAAGATCGCTGCATAAACTGCAGCCTCATGCCCCATGCAGTAAAAGAATTTCAATTTTCCTCGCTTTGCCCTCATGATGAGTCAGACCTCCTGTCCTCTTGGCAAGTGGCCCCACTCAGGCCTTCAAAGTGCCGGGGTAAGACCATGGTCTCTCAACCCCCTTTAGGAGGAAGCATGGCAAGCCTGACCAAGGCCTGGCCAAGTGGTTTGAGAATTTACCAAAAGAGTTAGTGGAGATTAAGTTGTTGTTGCAGGCACATCAGTGATGCCTCAATTCCAGCAACTGGGCTCTTTTCCCCTACCATACCTGATTTGTCCGCAGAAGAGGATGTTTTGTCTCTTATTGCATCTGCCTCTCACTTAAGAGATGATGATGATTATGAGGAGGGGTCACAATCCTTTCAACCCTCAGACTGGCCCTTTTTTCTTATCCCAGAGCACATTTGCTCTATGCAGGATATCATGTCTATGGCCCTGAGGCACTTTCAGCTGGAACTCCCATAAGGAGAGGCATCTGCCTCCAGGAAAGCGTTTTTCAAGGAGTTTTGCCGCCTGTTGGCAGGACACAAGGGAGTTGTCATGTCTGTCCACTGATGGTCGGGTGCTGGCTGTACTGCTAGCTGTTGAACTTGGTGATACTGAGTTAATTGTGTCGCCCAATGAAGTTTGCACCCTAATGTTTGATGCATGCAACTCAGTGTCAGGTCACAGATTCAGTTCAATTTATTTTATATATATGGCCAATTCACAACACATGTCATCTTAAGGCATTTTACAGAAACAATTCAACCAGGTTATTCAGTCAGATTGGTTCATAGTTTTCTATCTAAGCAAAACCAGCTAATTGCATCGACTCAAGGCCTCGAAAGCCATCTCTTACATCAAGCATGCTTATAGCGACAGTGGAGAGGAAAACTCCCTTATAACAGGAAGAAACCCTCAGCATAACCAGGCTCAGTGTGAGCGGCCATCTGCCAAGGCTGACTGGTGTTCAAGGAGAAAGAAGCAGACATAGAAAAAGAAGCAGAGATACAAAAGGCAACTGTCAAAAGCTCCGAGCCAGCTCCCGTGTAAGCTGGGGGACAAAGGCACACCTCTGTAGGATTGTCTTGTGACACTGTCTTGGAGAGAGAGGGTGTTGCAGTAGTTTCAGTAGGAGAGGACAGTCCTGACAGCCAACTGTGGAGCAAAACTGCATCCTCTACCTCTAACCATTATTATCATGAAGAAATAAAAACAAAAACAAGAGTCTTTTTTCTTTTAGGTTTATTAAACTTCAATGTTGCATACATAGAAAGTGTCTAGAAAGCTACAAAATATCTAGTGTTGTCAAGAAGGCATCATTATGTCACGGAGCAAAGACAAGACCATGAGCAGAACACGGAAACAGCACAGCTTCTTTTCTCTCCGTTGCTCCGACACTTTACGTTCATGATTACGAAAAAGATATCACACATCTGCACCAAGAAAACACGGAGATATACTTTTATACAAAACACATTTACACAAAAAAAGCAAACAAACAACAAAATAAAACAACAAAGATCCGAACACAGAACCAAAGTGAGTGAGCTATTTTAAAAATCACTTTAAAGCCATCATCATCACCATCATCATCAGAGATGCTCATTAAAGGGAAAGGTACCAGTACCCGATCCAAAAATCAAAATTACAAACAACAAGAGCTAAACTGCTGATATGTTTGTTCCATGATTGAATGCAGCTCTCTGTGTCCATTTTCCCTTAAAAATGGTTCAGCCGATGTTAGAGGCATCAGTCCTGCGGTTTTAGTATTTATATGTCAGCAGTGCAGCAGTGACATTACCATCGGAATGGACTTCAGTATACAGACAATGTCATCACAGAGAAAAGTATACAGGTACAATAAGAAAAAAAACAACAACAAAAACATCTCACTACAGAGTATAATCAATAAATGTGAACAGATACACAGGGTAAACATATGAATAAAGGCTATTACAGCTCCACGCTGTCCACAGGACTGTGGCAAAGCTACAACCCCCAGACAGTCTATAATTATTTAACAATTCTTTGAATACTTTTTTTTTTTTTTATGACCAAAAACCTGTAAGAACCAGAACATATTTATGTAACTGAGATCATTTATGTGTTACCATTAGTTTTCAGACCTCCACTCACACGTCACAGTAGCAGCTGTAAAATAGACTGGGCAAAAATCCCACTTTAACTAGAAAACATTTTTAAACATGATGTTAGATTTTTTTTTTCTGCTGTTAAATAAACTTTTTTTTTTTTTATTATTCCAATATGTTTTAAAAGGTGAATTCACAAGACTATGTCTAGATCACCCAAGAAAAACAAACATTTTTTATTTTCCATGTGTGTGAAAGTGCAGGCACAGCAACAAGGAGGCTGCAGTTTTCCTAAAAATCTGCAAACACTTGAACCTGCAAGTGTGCATGGAACAAACTGCTTCAGTGTTTTTGCATCCTGCTTGAAGTCAGTGTAAAAAAAAAAATAAGAGTAAAATGCAAGAATTTTAATATTTTTTCAAATTTAACAATGTTGTAATTAGGAATGATTTATTAATTAGCTATTCTTCTCCTGCTGTCAATCAGTTCCAAGTCCTTTAAAAAAAGGCAATGTGGTGATTGTTGTCACTTGTGTTCTGTTTTTGGTAAAGCAACATTGATTTTTTTTTTTTCATGTCTATTAAATTTTTTCGAAGCTGGAAAGTTGAAACCGAAAGGCACTTCCTCGCTACCGCGCAGAACACAACAGGTTCTCCCGATTCTTTTTGGTCTTTTGCAACATGAAAGGCAGCTCTTATTTGTAATATAATTGTAGAAAACCCTTAGAAACTCTTCTTCTAGCTTACAAACCAATCTGAACATAAGTGTACTGTGTCTTAAAAATGATGAAACTGTGTGCTGATTTGATGAAGTGTAATTTGAAAAAGAAGTGGCATACTGTTATATTTGCCTGACTTGCTCACAAAACCAACTTAAGAACTAAACAAAATGCAATGAATACATTCTAAGGCACTGTACACTTAAACTTTGGCTGATTGTACAGAATACACACTGCAAACAAAACAAATCTGATGTGGTGAGAGTTCACAGTTTTTATGGCATCTTTTGGAGTTCACAAACAGCTTTATTAAGTTTAAGGCTTAGGATTGAAGCAGGCAACAGAGACGTGAACTCGACAGGAATAATTACACCTCCATCTCCAGGTGTGGTGAGTTATCTATAGTTTCACCATTATTTAAGCTGTAGTTTATAAGCTGCAGGATCACCAAGGTGAGCACTGGGAGGAAAACAAAATGCGTCTGGACTAGAAGGGTCTAAATCAGAGACGTGTACTTTCATTTGGCAGGAACAAAAAAATGTTTTTGTATCAATTGCCAAAACATGTCATTTATGTCTGCAAAACAGAAATTCTTAGAGAAAGTTACTCACCAATGGTTAATACAATGGCTTGCAAACTATTTATTTACATCTTACATTTGATCAAAATGTGCCCATCCCTTTTTAATAAAATACACTAAATAAAATCAATTGCAATTTTCCTTCAGGTTTCTCCTCACAAATCTTTAATTTAAAGGTATAAAGGACGATCTTTTATTTCTGGGGCGGATCATCGAAATAATTTTTGTCTTTTTCTGCACATGCGCACTTTCAGCCCCATATCTGTGGTGAGCTACAGTTTCAGAAAGTGATTGAAGCTCGCCTTTCTCACCATGGTTCTTTGAAAATGGCTGAAGATCGTGAAAGAAAAAGTGTTTACGAAGTGTATGGGAAGAGAAAAAAGGCCTCAGAGAGGCAGATATATCCCGTTATGGTATTTGCTGTCAAAGCGGCCTGCTGTCACCATAGGCTGTCACTACTCGACAGCAAAGGCTAATAACAAAGACTGCGCAGGCACCGCGCAGTATTGGAGGAGTTATGTGCCAACAGGGAGTAAAAAGTAGTGATTCATCTGTCCGAAGGGTAAGTTAACTGAGTTCACTATAAAGTCCACTATATAGTCCCCACTTTATATAGTGATTGAGGGATTTAGGGATTAGGGTGGATGTTCGGGCACAGTAAGCTTGCATGAGCTATGAGAACAGCAACTTTTAAATGGAGCTTGCATGAGGAGAAATGGGCTTGTGGACGGCCTCACACGCGTTTAAATAGGCATTCCCTCTCTGGAGTGGGTAAAGGGTTATTTTTTGTAATGGAGAGGGCGGGTCTTTTAAAAAAATTCTCCAAAATCCTCCACAATACCTTTAATTTCAGTATAAAAGAGGGCCATCCACATAAACAAACAGGAATTGTAAGGACAGAATTCATCAGAGAAGAAGCCATGATGTCCATGGTAAAAGAACACAATGTACAAAGAACATAACTGAAAAGAAAGCAAATATATTGAGGAAGCAGCACTGGTAAGATTCAAAAATTCTTGGCCTTAATATAAAATGTTTTGTGTGATAGGAAACGAATGCGGCACATCTTGCTCTCCACACACTACCCTCCTTGGTTAAACATGATGATGGCGGCATTATGATGTTGAACTAATGGGAAGATGGATGGAGCTAAACTGAGAACAGGAAGTAAATCTGTTGGAGCCTGCAAAGAAGTTAAGGCTATAGTCTGAAGTGTAGTTGTTAAAAAAAAGGGGAATTTTTTTTTGTTTTTGGAAACATATATAGCCTAATTAATATAGTGATTATTGATTTCATTCATTTTGCTAAGGCTACTCGTACGTCCACAGCCCAAATGTTCAAAGGGCAATATCCTTGCCAATACTGTTAATAAGAAATAGAAATTTTTCGCTTTCAACTATAAAATGTCATAGGGGGTGGTATGGGAGGGTGGTCATTTAAGAAGGGGGATGATTTTTAAGAGGGGGGGATGCCATCCCCCCTCAACTCCAGTACTGGCTAGAGTGAAGATTCACCTTTCAACAGGAACAAAAACATAAACCTACAGCTTACAACAGAATACAGAAAATCAGTGTGTTAGAATAACCCAGTGAAAGTCAACACATAAACTCTATGTGGCAAAAATGTGGCAAAAAAATTATTCATCACAGATATTCTTGATCCAATCTATTAAAGACTTGCAGCTTTAATTGTACAGAAAAAGCAGTTCACAGAGTTTAACTCAGGAGGGGTGAAATCTCAGGTTTTCAGATTGTAAAGGAAAAAGATTCCTTAACTTGTCAAGCTTTGAAGTTACAATATAAAAAGAATGCAAAAAAGTTCAAGGGGGATGAATAGTTTTTCAAGACACTGTATGGACACTATAGTCATGGGCAAAAAAAACACAAAAAACATTAGACCACCGTTTTCGTCACTTTCTTGTTAATTTTACATCTGGTAAAAATTAAAGTACAATTGCTCCGAACAATGATAACAACACCAGCTCATAAAAGCTGGATTTAGCCGCTGATATCAAGCCATCTTCTGTGTTTTTTATAATAACCAAAATCACTTGGAGCAATAAGCAAGAAATTTAGAGTAAACTGAACCATAATAATTTAAATTTGTTATGTGGGATGAAAATAAGATTCCCTTTAACCCCTTAACCCGAGAGGGTCTTAGGAGCAAATTCCACCTGAACTTATATATGTGTATTAAAGCAAGTACAGCTCCAAAACTATAAACTGGAAATACAATTGTTTGTATTTGTATGACAGAAAGGCGTTGATGAACATTTTTCAGTTGGAAACACTATTTTTAATGTCACCATGTCTGATTTATAGGGGAATTAACAAAGAAAAAATTTAAAATATTTAGCCTCGCAAATTTTTTTTTTTTCCAAAATAAACACAGCAAAACACTCTGAAACCCAATTTGAAACTCTGGATGAACCCTAAGACTTTTTAGATCCACATCTTGACTATTACTCAAGCAAATCTGGACTGAATAAGTTGAAGCATGTTTGTTCCACAAAGGTTTTAGAGGGAAATGTGCTAGGCGGAAATGTGATCTTGGCACAGTGGTGCCAAAAGTAGCCAAATTTTGCCAAATGCATTTTTCCACTCATAAAATGGAATCTGGCCAGTTAAATGTGCTGATTCACATTATTGGAGACCGTCTGCATAAGACAAAGCCTTTTCTCCTAAGATTTAGCCATTGTTTCATTGAAATTTAACATTGAACACAAAAATATCACCAAACTGAATAGAAAATAAAAATAACAGGGCAAGCTTATATATCGCATTCCGGTTACATCACCTGAAATGGTTGCATCATTACCTATGACCTCTCCTTGAAAGGTATAAGCTTCTAGTTTCCAATGATGCAGCCCATTAGGAGGTGTGGCTAAAAATGAATATCTGCTGTTACATAACTCTGGCAGAGTCAGGCATGTCAGGTGGAATTTTAAATCTAATTTTATTTGTTTACACAGCTATAAAACAAAAAAAGTATTTGTGAAAGAATAATTTTGAAATATGTTTTAGAAATTTTAAAACTGTGTTTTGACCATTTCTATAATAGATAATGATAATCAGGCCCGCCGGGCTACAAAAACCCAAACCTGTCAGGTATGGTCTGGAACTATTTCTTTACAGTGTGTAGCTCGTGTTTAGTTTCTGATTCCTGAGCCAATTATATGAGAGTTCCCAGGACTGATAAAACAGAGTGCAGCATTTGGTATTTTATGATGGCAAAAATAACCGCAGCATGCAAAAAATGGAAGCCGGCAAGAGAAGCGAAACAGATGTACCTAAGAAGCCTCATACTCTTCCTTTGTCTTTAACCTAGCTCTGTTGTATTGTTCTGATTTGATACGCTAATTTTCCTTAACCTATTGCTTCTTTAAGTAGCTATGGCACTGAACTGTCAAAAAGTGCTTTCAGACATTCTGTGTTTTCTTATCCGCTTTTTTTTATCATTCAATACGAAAAGAAGTTACTATCTGATTACAAAACAATTGTTTTTGATGACAAAAATGGTCTAATGTTTTTTTTACATGACTGTACCTCCTTATTTCACAGTGTATTTCTTGTCTGTCTGAAATTTGGAGTGTTTCAACAAAAATATTTACACATTTTTACATCCATATGATTTCAGTCACTGACATGTATTTGTAGTGTTATTTATGTGTCTTTGGGAGGTTTATTTCGCTGTGAGAACATGGTTTTCTACAAGATGTATTGAAACAAATTATGAAACACAGATTTTTTTAAAACACTCTCAACCCAAAATGCACAGACCATCACAGGCTTTTTCCCTCTCAGTTGGTATAACAAATCAGAAAGAGACTACACATAGATTTCCATTTGACAAATAAATCTCATTGAAACAACCAACTAAACATATTGAAAAATGAAAATTCCCATTAAGTTCCCAATAGATCATAAAACAACTGTACCATATTTCACAGCTGTGGTCAAACAACACTTACAACACACTAACTTCACCTCATACCTCAACCAAAGAGCATTGAAAGGTTGACTTTCAATGCAGAGGCACTGCCACTTGTTTTGGAGGTTGATAAGTCCATAAAGAAAAACGAAAAAACAAAACAGACTGGTTTATTCCTTTACCAGTCTGTAGATATGGTGCTGGGCGCCGTGCTCGCTGTTCGACACTTCAAACACACAAGCCATACATAACAACGTCTCCTGGGTGTCCCTATTTGACACGACCTGCAAGAGAAAACATGCAGGATGTTTGGAGGGATGCTAAAGAATAAATGCTTTCAAATCATCAAGAGAAGTAAGTCATGCTGTTGAAACATTTCAAGCTTTTTTTTTTGGGTGCTTCTACTCCTTTCAACAACCCAAAACCCCCCATTACCTCTTACACTTATGAATCTTCATTATCATTCCTTGTGAATATAATCTCTGTTGATCCTGGAGACCTACGCACGTTATGACCTAAATCCCACATCAGCTTCTGTGATTTAGTTCTGGATGCAAACCAACGTGCAAAACATAGCACAATGGTGTGTGTACAAAAAAGAAAAAATTTAAATTCCTGAATTGACAAGGGCTGCACAAAAGGTATCTGAATTATTCCTCATTAGGGTAAAAGAATAGTTTTATCTCACAATTTCTTTCCAAGATTTTAGTTCGTTCCCAGAGCAAGCCATTTTTTAAACATTGAAAGTAGATTCCCTTTATAACTCAACTTCTAATACCTGCTTCTGGTGTACTATCTAATGTCACAGCCAGGTCCATAGTAAGCCATTTGGCCCCTGCTCCTGCAACCTGTTGTTAAAAGTGACATTTCTGGGGGAAATAATTGCAAACCTTGTATCTATTATTTTATATCACTGCTTCTGCTTCTGTCTCCTTGAACCTCAGTCGGCCTTGACAGATGGCTTCTCACACTGAGCTTGGTTCTGCTGGAGGTTTCATCCTGTTAAAATGGAGTTTTTCCTTTCCACTGTCGCTACAAGCACGCTTAGTGTGAGGGATTGCATTCAGTCAATGAGTCGATGCAATCAACTGTTTTTTTTTTTAGATAGAAAACTTTGAATCAATTTGACTGTATGATCTGGTGAACTGTAAAGTACCTTGAGATGACATGTGTTGTGAATTTGCGCTATATAAATAAACTGAATTGAATCGAATTATAAATATACCTATTTTTTGTTTCATTTAAGTGCAATTCTGTCTTTATATTGATGCTCATAGTTAGAGTAACAATAGTTAGAGTAATAGTTAGAGTTACAATATTAACTGTTAAAGTGTTCTCTATGTTTTGTCTTTTCACAACCAGAACTGCAGTAAAGTATGCCCTTTAAGATCTTCACACATTTAAAAAGAGAGTTTATCAAAAATCAACCTTGAATCTTTGAATTCTGTTCAAAGACAAAAGAAAAGGTGCTTATGAATGCATGGATTTCTGTGGAAACATTCCTTAAAAGACAGATATATGTGCAGATTATGCAGAGTATGGTCTAAAATCTTTGATCAGCTAATGAAAAGTTTTAGTGTGAATTAAGTTTTTAACTATTTGCTCATACTGCTTCCCACGTCTCGGACTACATTTTTTATATATATTTTTTTGCATTACCAACAGGTTTGGATAAAATGCAACATTCAAATACTTGCAATTTGTTCCTCAGATGTAAGAATTTAATTAGGAATTTACAGCTATGCAAAAATTCAGCTTCTTAGGTTCTGATTACTTAAACAAAGCTATATCTTGGCTGTGAATGTCTTCCATCTACCTCACCATGGCTGTTGGAACAATCACATATATCAGAAAAATAACATATCAAAGTTCTTCAGATAAATTATCAGCCCATCTGGAATTAATCTTGAGGGACCTTGGAAGGGGCTTTTCTCTGATATGTTAAAACAATACTGCCACTCCCACTTAGGTGACACTGTGCTGTTTCACAGATACATCAACTTACCACACAAGTTGTCATCAGTGAGATGGCAAGTGTTGCTAACCCACTCATAAGTTTAGTGGGACAAAATGCAGCAGCTTACAGAATTTATCCTCCTTATTAACTTTATTTTACTACTTGATACTTTTTTTATTCTATTACTTGCTATAAAAGACTGTCATTTTGATTTATTGAAAGAAAAATAATTCGGTGATTGGAAATGTATTAATATTTAAGACTATGACACTTGACTACGGCCTATTTAGTTTGAGTTAGCATTATTTTTTGAGTTCTTTAGATCAATCTGCTAAATTCAGTATTTTTAACTGACGGTTAGATCCTGGCCTTCTCTACCTAAAGGATCCTGGAATGCAACAGCGGCAAGAGAGATAACTTTTAATTGAATTCAAACTAGATGCTATTAATGGATCTAAGAAGAAGTTAATGCGGGAAAAAATCATTTCAATTTGTTTAGGTTAAAAATAGTTTTAGCCATTTCTTTGGAGCATCCGGGGACCTGGCATTCAAATAAGTGAGTGAGAAATGATCCCATGCATCTATTACCTTCATAACTTGTCCAAGTTATTTTCAAACTTTTCTTGAACTCACTGAATCTGATTTTCTGTCCGATCCGACAGACAAGTGTGCTGGATGAGGTTGTGGCATTTAGCGCTCATTGAGAGTCAATGGGGATGAAGAACCAACATGATTTTCTGCAAGGGGGCTTGCGAAGCTGCGACTGAGATAGACCGCAGGCCTATTTTAGTCTGACAATGCAGCAATTAAGCTGCAATTTAATGGGTCTAACAGGAAGAGAGACGAAATAAAATGTCTGTCAATCACAACAGAAAATGTGAACCAAAAAAAGGCTGAATCGCACGGCACATACATAGAAGGTGGGGCAGACTCATGCATAAACAATAATAGAAATGTTAAAAATATGAATATTTAACCCATGATAAGAGTTCCCAATGACAGACAACAGATAAGATAGTAATTCTCTTTGAGCTTCGTAAAAAAAAAACAACAAGGGTCAGACAGTGCAAGTAAGTGCGACTTATCTCTCTCCCCTCTTTATGAAAAAAAAGTAAAAACTTTGACAAATTTCACAGATCTCTATCTGAGAATTCCCTCTCACTACCCTAGCTAGCATGTAAACTATCCCACAGCCTTTATTGCTGCTTTTTCCTTTTCTTTAACCGTAGTTTCCAATATGTTTTTAATTTAGGAGTAGAAACATTCTCTAGCTGTTTTGATTTAAGAGATACTGCCCAGACTCATTTTTGTTTTTTTAATCTATTTATTTTTAATACATTTTCATAATCTGTCCAAGTCAAATGTGGGAAATCTGGCACAGAGACTGATGTGGAAAAAAAAATCTGCACAGATCAAATCACCCAGCATCTCTATACGCAGTCAGTGTGACATGATACAAATTGCAGATTAAAATGTTGGAAGTAACCGGTGTGACCTAGGGTTGAATCTAACCATAAGCAGTACATACCTCCCCCTTACACTAAACCTAACTCTGTACACACCTTAGCCCTAAACCCTGGCAAAATATCTTTTGAGGACCAGAGACATCACTCTGCAACAACACAACCTCGCTTTGCAGGTAAAATAAGAAAAAGTGTTCTCACTAAGATGGCCAAACAGGAACACACAAACAGACACACGGCCTGCTCTGCTGATGAGGACAACCCATTGATTTCTATTTATTTTCCATTCATTTCTATGACCTAACCTAGACCCTTACATTAACCATTGCAAACACATAACTCTAAACCATACCTAAATTCACGCTTTAGTCCAAAACAAAATCTAACAAAGTTTGACCTGTCCCCACAATCTAGCATATTCCTGAGAAATTGACCTTACACTGTCCCCACAAGGTAACAAATACATGGCCACAAACTCACACACAAATATCGATCTACATCTGACTTTTAATTATTTTTTTGCTTTAATTATCTTTGTGGTTAATGAAACTTAAGACCCCATGAGATGGCTAATAACCAGAGTTCCTGCCCTCTCTTATCCTCCCTTTCCCTTTAAGATAATGAGACTCCCGGGACGGTGTTTCATCCCCTGTGGAATGAGAGGAATGTAAGGGTGGCAAAAACGACAGCTGCAGCCACTGACAACACAACCGCAGAGAAAAGGAGAAGAATGAGAGACGGGGGAGGGTCAGGGAGGTGCTCACCAATAAGATGGTGAAGTTTTCCAGGACACTGTTCATCATGTACTTCTCTGGGAGATGTTTTAGCTTGTGGATAAAGTTGATCATGTATTCACACATGGGAGACCGGCTTATCCGGTAGACAAAGCGACCATTCTCAAAGCGTGCATATTCAGTCTGTGGAAAGGAATATAATATTTGGTGATTGAATATATATTAAAAAACAGTTTTGAATCAAAATTCAAAGAAGTGCATACCTCTACTTTCTCAACAACCTGCTTGCCGAAGGAGCAGACCTTTGTTGAACATGTTATGGTCATATTCTCTGAGCTCTCATACTGGCTGGTCACTCCATAAAATGATCCAGCATCATCTTGAATGTTGCAGTTTAGGTCGGCCTGGAAGGAAGATAATTATTTTTTTAGGATTACCTTTTTAGAAGAAATCTGCAAAGGAAAGTGTTAAATGTTGACCTTCTAAGTTAGTTTGAACTAAGTGTGGCTTTCAGACAAGGTCACTAAATGCAGATTGAGCCTATATATATCAGCTCAAATTTCACCAGCGTCAGATAAAGACATTTTAGTGGTTTGGAACAGAGAAAATAAATGGAATAAAATCAGTCCTTTGCCACAAAGTAGTTTTTATTTTGCATTAAAAAAATTAAATAAACAGTCTAGACATTTTACAGTTTAAACACAACTGTATACTGATGATTTCCGGGGTTAATATACCGTAATGTAGATTAGTATTTAGTTTGATTTGAGTGTCTAGGAACTTATTAAGCCATGAATTCCTCTTTTTTTCCAGGGTAAAATGTAATAGTTCACAAAATCCTTGTTTCTTTTATACATTATTCTAATACACTATTGTCATTCAAGGAACAGTGATATGTATTAGAAATGAAAGGCGAAAAATAACATGGCTAAACTTTCCTATATCAACAATAATTAGGTGTTGAATCGTTAAAGCTGTGGCATAAAAGCACACAGGATGTTATGAGAGATTAAAAAAAGGTCACCGTGAGAGTTTTTTTCCAGTCTGGATTTAATATTAAATTATTGATTCATTTATAGAGTAAAGAGTCTTTTTCAGCAGGAGTGTCCATACATTTAGAACATTCAGGATTTCTTATGTGTCTATAAACTTTTGTATTGAACATTATCAAATGATTATAATTTATTTTGTTATATAAAATGTCCTCTTTCTTTTTGGAAAAAAAAAAACCCTCACAAAATGTCTTGATAAGAAGATAAGCATATAACATAGACTGCTAAGAGATCTGGCAACATTATTAATAAAATTACTGATTTAAAGTTTTTAAGTCATATTAGCATAAGCATCTAAATGTGGCCATACTGAGGGAAAAAACTCTAACAAGAACTAAATGAAGTTACATTAGGAGACTGATTTCCGAGGATGAATGGGTTGCTCCTGGAGGGCAGCCTCTCTGTGCCCCGAACATCCTGTTCATTATGGCCACAAAAAGAGGAGACATTCTCCCAACAACATTCTCCTCCTTCATTAAGCCAAGCAGTTACATGTTCATTATTTTGCAGATTCTGTCGTTCATTTGAAATTCAGATTTGCCGGTCACTTCAAAAGGAATTTGAGGGGACTTAGTCCAAGTGCATACGGGGGCTACTTTGTTGGCCGCCGCTTGTTAGCATTCTGCATCAGGGAGGAAATACATTCAATGTTTAAACAGCCATTAGGAGTGCAACCAGGTCACTCCATTGTTAGGAGATATTACACTGAATTAGTGAGTGCTTTGATCAAAAGGCTCTCCTGCTATGCAAGACCAAATATAGCACACGGCATTCTGCAAACATTAAGAGAGCAATCCTTTCAGTGCAGCCTGATTACTCCAAATCACCAAATAAAAACTTGAACACAGTGATACAGAACAGGATTCAGTATTTTTAAAATTAGTTATAATTATATATGATTATAAATAACATTTGATTAACCTGAAAATGTATACTGTATTTTCATACGTACCCAGAATTTGATGAGAAAAAAAGAATTCTGAGGACCTTTTCCATACAGCTCCTTTAATCCTCCTTTCTTCTCAGGAAATTTATCATAAATTTGACGAATATCCACAGACTCCAGCAAGGCGTCGCTGTAGGAGTGATTGGTCTGTCCGATGTGTACAAACAGGTGCTTGTTGTACTGAAAAGCAGATGAATCATACTTGAATCATCAGGGCAAATATATACACATTAAAGCATCAGAAAAAAGTTAATCAAAAATAGATTTTCTTTAATGTAATTTGATGTTATTTCTAAGTTTTAATCAGTCATTGTGACATGCAGGCTGTAGTGTAAATGGCATACTCTGGATCACTGGGCTTTATGTAAAATAAATGACATCAGTCAGACCAGACTGATGATTCAGGTAAAGGTTGGTAGGGATCCATGTAGGCCTGAAACAATTATTGGATTAATCACGATTACTCGGTTATTGAAATAATCGTCAATTAAGTAATCAATTAATCATTAACTGGAGTATAGAGACTGATAAATGTGCCTTTCACTGACAGAGCAACCCACACAGAGCAGTAATTATTTAGAAATTGTCAAAAAAATAAAAACACTTTCGTCTGTCAATCTGCTTTATCCAAAACTCCTGAAGTGGAAAAGTTTTAGTTTCACCTGGTTTCATTAAGAAAACAATCTACTTTAAGAAAACATTGGCTATTCGATTATTAATCGAAAAAAATCGACCAATTAATCGATTTGCTGAATAATCATTAGTTGCAGCCATAGATTCTTGATTCTAGATCCTGCATTACCATACAGCTAATGTTTATTAGTTTTAAACATATTTGGATCACTCTGATAACTAAAACGGAACCAGTATGAACAACTAAAGTTTTTTTCCATCTAGTTGCTCTTTTTTACGGAGGGTGTTGAGAGGAGACTGTGGTGTTTGTTTGGTCATGTGTTGTACCGATGCAGTGCTGAATTGGAGGTTCGTAGCTGTACCGTTAAAGCATTGTCAGCACTGTTTTTTTTTTATGTGTCTAAAAGGTAGAGGAATATATATCTATAAATTTCGGTTATTGATATAACTTCAATATTATTGTTGATTTTGGCCAAGATTTTCATATTGGTGAAACCCTGAATCCAACTGTTTGCCTTTGAAGAAGCAGATTGATCTAAAATGTTTGAGTGCTGCTGCAGAGAAGACTTCCCCTCTCTCCGTTTACTTTGGTCACCACTCAGCTGAACATTTATCTGGGAAAATATTTTCTTTGCACTCAGACAGCAAACCTAGCTGCTGGCTGATAAAGGGTAGAAATAAGAACAAAAATGTGTGTTAAGGTATATGGCTCTCCTGACCGAGTCTTGGTCTCTCTGTTGCTCTAGGAAGGCGGAAAACTCCACCAGTCTGAGTTTAGATGTGCCGATGGAGCGGCCTTGCCATGCTGGGGCTGTGGGAGCTGGAGCGGCAGCAGGTTCATAACCTGCCAATACAGAAAAACAACCAGACTTTCATCTCCTATTTGTAATGTTTACTGATTATTCCTAAAGACATTGTTTTTTAAAATGTTCAATTCTACATTTCCACAGTTTTCCTAGATTTCAGACAAATTACAATTATTTATCAAGTTGATTCTCACTTGAAATGGCTGTTGTAACTGCTGACTGGATGGGATATGGTTGCTGGGTGAAAGGCTTAATGCTGAAAAAGAAAAGCACAGATTTATAGGAAAAAGCCCTATAAGCACGTTACATATATTCTTATAATCACATATATTTTTGAGACTTACTCTTGTGAGGATCCTGGCTGACCAGCTGATATCATACCCTGCCATAACTAGAGATGAAGAAACATAAATCATCAAAGTCCAACTGTGAGCATCTGTTAGATGCAACATCAAAGAGGCAGCTAATCCTTATTGATCATCAGTTATCTGGACTACCGCTCCTTCTGATCATGTGTTTATCAGATTGGGACAGTTGTTGCAAAGCTGTGGTGTGTAATGTGATTTGGCCTGGGTTTCAGTAAGGTTGGTCCTGGTTCTGCCCTGTGTGAAGTGAGACAGAATAGATCTGTAACAGGGTGCCAATGAGGTACGTACCCCTGCTCCTGGGAAGGCGGGCCGAGGGATGCCTGGCAGGCCGAGTTTGTTGTGGATTGCCGTTGCAGAGACGATCTGAGCCGAGGACATAGAGGCCATGCTCTGGAGGGCTTTGTCCTTCACCGCTTGGTCCTTCAAAGGCATTAACAAAAGGCTTAGCACTGGCACATATGAGAGAGTGAGGGGGTAGAGGGGTAACAGAGTCTAAACTGAATGTTGACAGCAACACTGAACTTTCTCACAGCAGTAAACAGCAAGCACATTAAAAGCACCATCAGCATAGCCATGCTAAGGACAGATTTGTCTGTTTCTTCCAAGGTATTCCCTAAACAATAGCTTCCAAATTCCAATATACGACAGCAGACAGTGGTATGCAGTGGAATTAAACTTCACTTGATAACTCATTTTCCACAAAAATATTTTTAAAATGTTCTTTCAAAGGCCCTCATTTCAAGGCTGCATTTGTCTGAATGTCAAAACTAATCACATCTAAACATCCAAAAGAATTTCTGAGGTAAACCTGAAGCTGTTGAAATCATTATTAAGTCTAGCAACTCAACATTGCTTCTTTTGTTTTATCTTTGTTTTACACATTTGGAAGTCGTCAAGGTTGCCTAAAATCTTATTCATTTTAAACATTAACTATGAAAGAATTTTATTGTAATTAGAGTTATAAAATTCTGCAGCAGCTTGTGCATGTGGGCACTGTGGAAAGCTTATGCAGACATATTGGTGGCAGAAGCTTGAGGCAGGCATGCTTGCAGTGGATGTCAGTGTAGCAGAGTCATGACACACAGATGCATCGATATCAGTAGAAAAGTCCGCATAAATGGACAATTAGCAAAAGCACACAAAGCAATGTTAAATAAAGCAGGAATTGCATACCAAATTAAAAATAATTACTTACCATACTCGTGACCTAAATGCAGAAAAACAAGGTTTCATTTTAAACTTATAATCCAACTGGTCTGAGTAATTCAAGTCTCATGTATGCATAGAACATCTTTAAACTTAAGGTAAAAGTAATGTAATTTTACTGTTTTTCTACAGAACATTAAGTGTGCAAACATGCACATACGTTTCAGGAAAACTTCAGAACCAAAGGATTTGTATTTACAAATTAGCCTTTGTGGTTAAAATCTTGCTCTATAATTTCCTGATCAGCATTCATCACTCAAGACAAAACAGAGCAGTAATGTAATAACTGTAATTTTACTAAAATACTACAGAAGAGAGCAGAAGCAGCAGGTTTTGATTCTTCTTAAATGAAGGGTACACTTGAATTTCTATTTACTGCTGAACTCTAATTTGCTTTAAATGAAAAAAGACAGGGATTCATACAAAAGCTCTGTTTCCCTTCATACAGACGCCTGTGCCTGTGAAAAGGCAGGCAAGGAGGTGGATAGCGGCTCTCTCAGCACACACACACATATGATTATACACACAAAGATTAATAAGGGGTCATTAATTTGTGTTGAATACTGGAAGAGGAGCAAAGAGGTCAAAATGTATAGTCCTGTAAAAAAAAACGTGAAAACATGGCACACAGGCAGGGTGCAGTTTAATATAAAAAATACCCTATATACCAGTCTGTATTATTCAATATTACTTATTTCACAATGCATTTCATCCACTTTATTCTGCTTTTCTGAAAAGCCTTTGTTTGTGACTTTTTCTCTTTAAATAACTGACAAGAACGCTGTAAAACTATGACATCTGTACTGAGAGGAAGGAAAGTGGCTGAGGCAATGGCATTGTGAGAACCTGGAGTAATCAACAGATTGGGGACAAAAAAGGTCAAGAACAGAAAAAGGGCATTTTGAGAAAGAGGCAGCTTCGCAGCCATTCTCTCGCTCTGAATGTACACCAGTGAGTCGGACAAGAAAATTTGGGTTACTTCAAAAGAGGTAGAGGAATAAGGTCTTCTTTGTTTTATTGTTAAAACCGTACACTTCCTTCCGTCTGTGCGAGTCAGCGCTCAGCCACCCAACAACAGCCAATGCCAGCATGCTTTGAAACACGTTTACTAAACACAACAAAGATCAACGATTAGAGACTTATACTGTTTTATCACTGTATTAAACCGCAGCCCAACCGAGACCTTTGGACATCTACATGTTTTTAGTATTTACCCAATTAGTCATTTCACTGAATTTATTTAAATAAATATCTAGTTTAAATTGTTTCTAATTAAATAAAAGTGTCATAAAGCTAAACCCCTTTTTGAGTTCATGTCACCAAAATATGTACACTAAACTGTATAAAAGATCTTTTCCAGTTAAAGCAGCTTCTTGGATGAGAATTTTGTACTTTAATGTATTTCTCTGCTTGTACTTCACCAATATTAGCTCTTTAAACAATCATCATGGGAGGACTTTATTTGTGAATGCTTGCTTTTGATGCTGCAAAAAAACATTTTAGGAGGTGACAGAAATATTTGGTAAAGTCATTAAGAAAATAAATGTAAACTGTTTTATTGCCAAAACAGGAAAGTGAGACAGATGCAACATTAAAAGACAAAAAAAACAACAAAACATAATAAATGTATTTTAAAGTAGTCATATTTTCTATTGGTCTTCAATGTTAGCAATAAACAAGAGGTGAGATGTCTTTAGGTAAATACTACTGCAAGTCATTTTATCCCAATATCCTGTAGTCCTAAGCAGTAATTTGTGTTTCAAATGGTAATCAATTAAGTTCAACAAACCTTGTTAATTCCCCTTAGCTATTTACTTTGTTAGCCAGCCTATAACACACTGTTTAGTTCATGTTAAACAAATATAGGTTCAGCTGATTGGTTGCACATCTCTTAAGAGCAAACTCATTACCCTTTTTTCCTTTTATATGCAGCTGATTTGCAGATTGCAACAGGGGAGGATGGGGGGGGTGGGTCATCTTTGAGCTTATTGTATGAAAATAGGATAAGAGATAAACTGACAGAAAGTTTTAATGCTTTTTAAGCTTATTTGTTAAGTCCAAACTGTATTTTGAGCATGATGATTTACATTTTTATCCAATTCTAAACCTGCATGAACCTTAAAACTTTTAGTTCTTCTTATCTATTCATTTATATAATAATGATAATAGTCATCTAAAGTTAATGTAATGTAAATACTGTTTGATGTTATCTTAATTTATGTGCAGTTGCGGATAAAGCAATGGTCCATGAAGAGAAATGAACCCGGACAGAGGAAGCATGACCACATAAGAGGATGAGCAAGAAACTAAAGGGATGTTAGAAAAGGCTGAACAGGTAAGAGTCAGTGATTAGAGGGAACCAGAGGACCAGGCATTCACTCTGTCACCACAGGAACAGAAAGTTTAAGACGCACAGAAACCAACAAGCCCAAAAGCAGAAAAGCGCATACCTTTAGCTTGGAATGAAACTCACGAGATTTTCTTCTGGCAAGAACCTGAATGTGACTAGACACCTGCGGGGTAGGGGAGGGGAGGAAAACAAAGGAAGAGCCTGTAACCATGGCAATGAAAAGCCCCCTGCAACTGGGCAAAGCCAGACGTACCTTAATGGCAGCTTGGATTTCTCGAACTTTCTTTCTTGCTAAGACCTGTATGTGACTAGACACCTCCATTGGAAAACAAGAGAAAAAGTACAATAAAAAACAAGAAAAACCCAAAAAGGTTCAGAGTGGATCACAGATTCTTTGTTTAAAAACACTTAAGTGAGGCATTCTGAGACCACACACCAAGCTAACAACCAATAAAGGCCATGTACAGTGTGTTGTCGTGACTTAAGTGAGCTGATTAGGGAAGATGCAGGCTCCTTTTGCACACATTAACAGCACACAGATGTGATCCACTGTGCGCTGAATAAAAATCGGCTGGTCTAGTATTTAGCTGCCGCCAAGTGAGGCGATTCTCCAGCAAAGTTTACCTCAGTTACTCACATAATTCAAAATAATCCTGTACTCATAGATGACGCAGTCTGGAAGCACTTTAATTGAAAGGTAATGTGTATTAATGGCAGCCTTGAGAGCTGGACTGTGTAGACTCCAATCACAAAAATCACCCTCAAGTTGAATAGTGAAACAGTGGGGAAAAAAAGGGATTCAACAGAAAGGTATCAGCAGGAGCTGAATTTTTAGCGGAACAACAATTTCCATAAATATCAAAACATACCTACCTTAGTAAACCATTTAAACCGCAATTTTAAAAAAATTATTTGACTACAGAGGTCACTCATGTTGGAGTTTTTTAACATAATTTAATTAAAGTTCAGTCATCAGATTATTGCTGCAGCCTCTGACAACAATAATAATAAAAAAAATTATATAAAAACTACTATATAACTTATTTGTAAAACTAATTTACAAATAAGTTACATATTAGTTTTAATATTTAACTTATTTGTAAAACCAATTTACTTGCATTATGTATAAAATAAGTCATGCATTTGGACACGGACCAAATGACCTCAAATATCCATGTAATGATACCATGCATGTACATTATATCAATTTAAACAAACCGGAATATATGGTTATTGCTATAGCTTTGAGTAAACAAGTGCCAAGCCTAATTCTGTAAAAACATGAAGCCTTTCCGGTCCAGACTGATCAATACAAACTCAGTAATTGAGTGTCACTGCAGACAACACCTTGCTTATCGCTGTCATTCACCGAAATGATCAGAGAGGGGGTTTCCGTGTTTAAAAGGAAATATCACTCGTCATTTTCTTTATTAAGACAATGCTATAAGGATTTGTTTCAATACAAACCATATCACCTTTTATGTATAATTAGCACCGTTATCAAAAAAAAAAATCCTAGTAATGTCATTTGCAAAGATAGAAGATAAAAAAGTGTATAAACAGGTATTCAGACTACCTGGATTTTCTCATTAAAGAAACCCTATTATGGAGTGTGGAACATGTTAGAGCTGGAGTATGTTAAAAATATAGATTCCTTGTTAAATGACGAATGATCCTAGATGTGCAATGTTTTTTTCAATTCAAGAGTTTGAAATGCTGTTATTTAATATTTTAATAATTTATTACTATTTTTTTTTGTCTTTTCTCCATTTTTTTGTCTTTTTTTTCCTGTTTTGTTGTTGTGAGGCCTTAGCTGATCTTTATCTTGAAAGATGCCATCCATGTCAACAGAAATAAAGGGTATCTAATTACTCACTCAGGAGAGCTATTTTATGTTTCTGAGTGAAGGTGGAAAGATCTGACGGTCAAGTGACATTTTTTATCCTTACTAAAGTTGCAGTTGATTTACCTTGGACCATGGAATTGGGAAGTCAGAGAGACATAACACCTCTGTTTCCCAATCTTACAAAAATACTGTTCTACCTGGTATTTTGTGCATGTAAAGGGCACTAAAATATCCCATGTAATACACAGTGAAAGCGTAATACCAGAATGACGGACTTACTGGTATGTACATAAAGATAATGGGTTCAAACAGTCAATTGAGGAAAGTTTTATTATTCCTAAATGAAGAGGTTGGGTATGGTCACGTCTCCAACTTTCCAACTTGGAAGTCCCTTTTTCAGGGGTGTTCCAGCTGAGATTTCCTAATAGGTCTGAAATTTCAACTTCCAAGTAATAATAAAAATAGAACACTATAATTTTCCATCTGTTTTTACATCATGTTGTTTGGGATTAAAAAAAAAAAAAATTCCAAGATTGAAGTGATACAATGCATTCCAATTTAGCAAAAAAGAGAAAGAAAGAGCAGGTTTCTAATTGACTCCTGTGAATGCAGATTGTCTTCAATCAGCTGTGGATCGACTAAACCAATGTTTTTCAACCCTGGTCCTCAAGGCACACTGCCCTGCATGTTTTAGATGTTTCCCAGCTTTCACACACCTGTTATCAATTGATAGCAGATTATCGGGCTTTGCTGAACTGCAATCATCTGAATAGGGTGGCCATTTCTATAGCACCAAAAAGGAGGAAATTGTGCGGAATATCAATAAATTACTAAGGTGTACATAAGAATCGGGTAAAGTCACATTTATAGTACAATTGTTAGTAGTTTAAAGAGGATGCTTTTGTAGCTGAATAGAACAAAATATTAAAGAGATGTAAAAAAGAACTGGTTCCCAGCATTTGTATTTATTTAATACATTGTGGTGTTTAAAAAATGACAATTTTTTGACACGATTAATTTGTGCTGAACTGCTGCAATTGTTCATAAATTATTTCTAATAGCATTAAAAGAGCATTAAATTATCTCATTCCTGTATAAAACCTGTGAACGTTTAATTTAATATGACATATTTAAAAAAAATCCCCATCATCATCCAGCAGATGTTCAGTTTCTGCCCAAATATTTTCTTTCTGTTGTGGATTTTTGTAACAGGAATAACTAGGATCATCCATAGTTTGTATGAACTTTGTTTGTTCTCTGCTTTCAAACTCATCATCTCTTCCTCCATTCCTGCAATAAGAATTTTCTTTTAAAGTTGTGAGGTGCGCTCTAGAATTTCACAACTTCTTCCTGGTCTGTTGAAGCACCAATAGTCTGCATCCAATTATTTAATTAATTGCTCTTAGTTTTTGGGAATATATACAAACTATGCTCTAATTTCTAGATACCGATCTGTTTTTACTATAATTTAATTTGACAAACCGGGTCTTCTCTACATTCTTTTTCCTGTTTGGTGCGATTGCAATTGCGGGTCTTGATGTGGACTGACCGGAGCGGAGCAAAAAATTAGCTCGGTTCCGTATTTTGACGGTGAAAGACGGAGAAGACGTACGTGGACAGAGACGTGCGGAGGAGTAGCTGAGGGTGTGGATCAGCTCTCATTGATTTACATGACAGACAAGTACTCCGCACGACATACGTGAGTGGAGCAGAGCGCTGACGGAGTATGTGGAATCTGGGGGTAAAGGAGGACAAATACACGTCCGGCTGGATGCGGCGCCGGACGCCGGACAGTGCAATGACTGTCCGCCCTAGAGCCGGACATCTGGCCACCCTATATCTGAATCAGGTGTGCTGAAGCTCAGAAACATCCAAAACATGCAGGGCAGTGCTCCTTGAAGACCAGGGTTGAAAAACACTGGACTAAACAATAACACTTAAATGAATAAAAACACTAAAGAATTGTGGTGGGAGCAATAAAATATTTACTGACTGCCAGAAGGAAAAAAAAAGCATTTTAAACACTTTAATCTGCAATAATCAAGATTTTAAAATACTACACATTACTGTTTCTTTTCACCAAGGGAATGAGTTCCCTGTTCCCCGTATCAGACTTGCAAATTTTCCATTTTTGACCATTGAGAGCTACACATAGAGTTAAACACAGCATTATTTTTAACCCAGACTTAGCTGAGTTTAAGGTTAATAAGTTCACATGTTTCTTCTGTTTCCCCAAGATAAACCACAGAGTCACTAAAACATCCAAAGAGCTGCTCAGCAACTATAAGAAGGCTTTAACCATTATAATGTCAATAACGATTTCTTCCATATTTCATCTGATTGCTACAAACTGTGGAAGTTTTACCAAATGGATGCATTTACTTTTTAAGGTTACCTTTATCAACTACTGAGACACGAGTCTCTTCTATAAGAAACATTGCTGGTTGACTGAAAACTCAAATTATTAACAACTGATAGATGAATGGTTTTTCACTCCCAAATAAGCAGAAATGTAAGGTGAACGAATAGATAAAACCCAGTGATTATGTAAGTTAAAAAAAACCAGAGCTGTTCCAAAAGAAGATGAATGATGTTTCATTAGCAAATGCCTATCCCCTTTACTTGAGATTCTCATTCTCATCCCTCAAATTAATAATTGGAATGTTCTGAGCGGGAAAAAAATCTTTAATCCAAATGTTTTTTTAATATCTTTCATTGGTATCAACAACTCCAGACTCCATGCAAGCAGTGATGGGATATAAATATTTGGATCAGAGTATCCTGATGCCCATCCATCTGGAGTCTGCTTTAATGGCATGCCCTTTCAGGAGGAGCTGCTTGTCTCTTGCCTTACCTGCTTGCGAGTTCTTGTCTTTCCAGTCCGAAGCTTGATGTATCTGGCTATCAGCTCATTTCGACCTGAAAGAAAAGAGAGCATGATATACAGATCAGACAGGGTCTATACAGGAATGAGTAACTCTAATTTAACGTTTTTTAATGCTGTTACTAATAAATTTAATGCTAGCAAGTACAGATAACTCTCATATATATATATATATATATATATATATATATATATATATATATATATATATATATATATATATATATATATATATATATATATATATATATCCTTCATCATCTTTACCGTGGACAAGCTGCAGCCATGTACAGAATTCATCGCTTTCTAGCCACTTTAGTTGAAATTTGCATTTTGCCATACAAGGCATCCCAAGTTCCAAAAGCTAATTTCAGGGAGATGCACAAATTATTGTATTGCCTGCATGCTCTCACTCGCATTAAATAAAAACACCACCTCACATAGTCTAAAATCCAGAATAATCAATCCGACTCGTGGGTATCCGTGAACAACCATCGATATCAGGGAAACTCCAAGAACTCCCCTGAGACTTGGAATGTCTGCCATAGTCTAGCCTTTTCTCCACCTCAAGCTTGTTTTCCGAACATACGGCTTTACGATCAACTGTAAGCAGTTCTGTGCAAACATGCGGAACCAGTTATATCTGATAGAATATATCTGTTGAAATTGTTTTTATAAACTTTTTTTTTTTAAATAAAGCATTTTAAATGCCACTATAATCACATTTAATGAATTGTAATGCCAATTAAGGCCCTAATTAAAAAAATAATAATAATTTAATGACTTTTAATTCATTTGAATGACCACCTGTGGAAACCCTGTCAGCCTATCTTAATAAATATGTGGATAAAAGTGGGTAAATTTTCCCTGTGTCGACTCTGATCAGCTCTGTTCTCCGAGTAAATCAATAAAGAGTGCTTACTTTGATACCTTTTTTTGAAATTGTATAAACAGTCTGTTGTGTTTTAGGGAGAAAGATGGGTATCCTCTTGGAATTTCCATACTTGTCGCCTGGTTACAAATACCATGCTCAAGGAATCCAATGCACAGCTTTTCTTTATTGTGAAAAGGTTTAAGGTGTTATGGCTCTCTAAATGTACATGACAATTCTACTTTTTGTGACAAAGTGAATCAGAGATAAACATCGAATAGGGTTGTGGTACTTGTACTTGAATTTCCCGCAAGGGATTCATAAAGCAATTCTGATTCTGATTGTCAAAGGCTTCGGTCCGCAAAGCAGCCATCCCAATCTCCACCGAAAGTCATCAACCGCCCATTTCCTGTCTAGCAGATGTTGAAATATAGTATAGAGTCTGCTAGAACTAATAATGATAAGGAAAATGACGGTGAGATACTTGGTAGGTGTGCCTCTAAAATAGATATTACCTATAGAGGAAAAAGCTTGATTGTAAATTTTTGTAACTGGGGAAAAAATACCAGTTTGTTGCAATAAAAACTCAATATACCGTAATAATGCATTAGTGTTAAGTGTTAAGGTATTATTAGCTGGTTTCTGCAGCATTTAAGTTTGCTTAGTATACATTGCTTGTCCTGTATTTTATAGATAAAACAAACAACCTCGCTTTTTTATATTATATGTCAATCTGCATTTTTTCCTATTTGGATGAAAACAGTAGACATACCAACATGAAACATGAAATTTTAGGAATTCAAGTGAACAACCTTCCTTCTGATTTCCACTCACTGGTTGGCATATCGCAGTTCATTGTTCTGAAGGCATGCATAAATCAAGGACTAAAAAAACCTATAATGTCCGTATTCTTTGTTACACATCTTTCTCTGACACACTCAAGATGGCCAATTATAGGAAAACGCTTTCCTGATATTACAGAAATGTTAAAAGATATATAGTAAAATCATTTATCTGACAACTTATAGAAGTATATATATCTAATAATTCTGAGCAGATTTTACTGTAACAACACTGAGCTCCATTAGCATAGGAAAAAAAACCTCAGTGGCATCAGAGCCTTTAAAATTAATCTAATTCAACCACAGGCTCTTCAAAGCCCAATGCTTTGAAAGGAAACAGACCTAGCTTTTCATGCTATTACAGAAAAATAATGGCAACTGAATATATTGGATTTAAAACACTACAGCCCTGACTCAATTATAATTAAAGCACAGCTTTGTAGAAATTTCCAATTAACAACCACCCAAAACATTCTTCTGCCCTCAGCTCTGCTCTAATTGCTGTGGCAATGCATTGACCCTGCTTAGCCCTTTCATATGGTAATAACACACTGCCAACCAAAACTATTACACAAATTATTGGTAGGGAGGCACTCTAATTATGTCCCCAGCTGTAGCCAGCCAGTGCCATGGAACTGCCAAACTCCTTCATGAAATTTGCCAACCCCTCATCAGAATGAAACCTTTTTTTTAACTATACTTCATTATCAATTAGAAGGGTTTGTTGTTGCTCAGACACAAGTGGATCAGAAAGTGCAACATGTACTAATAAGACATCACCAGGAATTTTTCATCAAAGGCACGGCATCACAAAAGAAATCTTTACTCTTAAAATTAAATCATACAGTGAGGTATAGACACCATCTTGATAAAAAAAAAAAACTTAATAATAGCTCTAAAATAAATATCTTCCTTGCATTGCGTGATATTTAGAGCCTAATCTTCAAAGATTTAAAATAAGGGGTGCTATTTTTTTTTTTTGTTTCCATGTTGAAAGAAACCGTATAGAGAATCTCTCCCCATGGTCTGGCATTGTACCAATGTCTCCTTTATGGTAACAAAAGGTTCACGTATTTTTGTGTGTCAGTTTTCACCTGACTTTCCAGAAGTACTAAAAGGGAAGCAAGGGGTGCAGCCGCAGTTGAGTTTTAGTCTTGGAAAGTATTCTGTGTATGTGGTAAATGTTAACATCTGTACACCATCCATGCTAGAATTTGCACTTTTGTCAACAGAATATGATCTGTATATTAATAAACTTATTAATACACACACAAATGGTTTGCACACAGAGTCTGCTTGATTGCAAACTTAACTTACTTAGCATCTTCTTCGAGGATCTACTCTGCACATACAAAGACATTTAACCCTGTTTTAAGACACACAGACCTGAAGATCAGGCCCAAAGAGTATTACAACTAAGACGACATCCAATTATGTTATGGGTACTCTCTCAGTTAGTCATCTAGAAAATCTAAATACATGTACAGAAGAACCTTTAAGGCGAAAATGAAAACTAGTGCATTCAATCAATTATTATTTTCTGCAATAAAAACTTCTGTATTTTTAAGGGCTTTTATTTTATCGGATCAATCACCAGTTTTTCTTCAGTTTTATAGTAAAGAGAATAATAAAGAGAAAAAAGGAAGGAAAATCTAATGATTTAATGGGCAAATGAAAAACTAAACTTAACTTCATAACATGCATGTCAACAAAACAGGTTGCAAACAGTTCAATCAGTTTCACAGCAGTTTCACGCAGTTCTGTTCTGTCTAGAGCAAAAGCTAACGAAAAAGAAGCCAACAGTAAGTATATAGACCCTCACTGCTTTCCCCGAGGGCTTTCTGCAGCAATCTTTTAAACACACAAGGACAGGGCCGGAAGGGATTGGAACTATTGCTGGCTGGTCGACCCTGACATTATTTTCATACTGCATGTTCACACAAGTCCAGTCTGAACCTGGTCACATCACCCCACACATCAAAAACACAACATTTGAGGACTTAGGCTTTCTGCAAACTTTACCAAATGAGGCAGGGATCAGCGTTATTTTCAGTAATTCACACATGGTGGACATGCAACATGACAATACACGCATTCATGCAAAGTCCTGATTCTGACATCAAAGCACACAAATGGGCAGCTGAAAGCCTGCTTACTGTTGAATAATTCATTCTTTTCACCAGGCTGGAGGGAAAAAAAGCACACCGAATCTTAGCAAGCGTGGATGCTTTCCCCTTTTTCAACGCAAAACAATCTGGTTTTTTTTCAGCATGGGGTGGGTATTTATCTTTCAAGCAACACTGTGTACATTTTAGCCACCAGGGGGTGCTTCACCTGTGACTTCCAGGTTTAACTTCCTGTGAAGATCCCTAGCAAAATTAAACAGAATCCATAAGGGTTGGCCTGTTTTTTTGTTTTTTTTTCTCAAAACAAGATCGCAAAAAGACAATAACCATATTGTTTTTGTTTGTGTCACCTTTAAAAACCTAAATGCCAATATAAAAAATAAAAAATATTGGAGTAACTATAAAGCAACAGCATTTTTTTCTTTCAGCTATGTGAAAAAAACTAAAATGCAGCTATAGTGGTGTTGTTCCAGATATTAAATAGGGCAATGGTTTAAAAAAAAAAAGTTATCAATTTTGTACAGGCTTGTGTTTTAGATTAAAAAAGGTGAACTTATGGTTAGGAAAAAAGGGTCTTTCTAAAATTTAGGGTAACTAACAGCCTACATGTAGCATACTTGTACATTTCAGTTACCAGTACTAAAGTTGGCAGTGCTGATCAGTTTATAAGACCATATAAGACCATATCAGCTGGAAGAACTTCAGAAATTCGTTTAGACACCATGGCTGCACTCAAAAACTATTCTGCACTGATTAAAGAAATCAGAAATCTGGTGTGGGCAGTTGTGGAGCAGCACATTACTCTGTTATCGCAGGTTTTCTCAGGGTTCTGCAATGAGCACAACTTACGAAGAAGCAAACAACTGTTTACGACATTCCATGTGCAGCACTTTGGTACTTAAAGAAATGTTAAAGTGCTTTATAAATAAAGCTGGATTAGATGTATACTTTTACTGTGAAGTCTGCATACATATGTTTAGACATGCTAAATAGTTGATGAGGTAACAACAGCTGAAAATCATTCGGCAATGATACTAGCACTTGATATTATTGATATGAACACTTTATGACTGTCCAGAACATACCAGTCTTCTGAAGAAATAATGTTTTGCACAGAGTCAAGGCAGAAATCTGGACTTAGTTGAAAGATAATATTATGAATGGTGAGGCTGGATTATAAGCTTTAATTATTTAAT